ACTGTTGGGTGTAGCAACAGTGATCCTACCTCAAAATGTCAAGATTCCAGCTCTGTCGGTTCACCCAAATCCAAGTTTGGTACCATTTAGTAGACATTAGTACGAATTTTTAAAATTTCCTATATACCCCAAGCATACACCAAAACAATGATCTTAACTAAAAATTTCAGTGTTCCAGCTCTATCGGTTCACCAAAATCCAAACTCTACTTTTCGTACACATAAGTAAACAAATGTGCAAAACTACGTACATGTCCCAATCCCGCCCTCCGACAGTAATGATAATTTTAAATTTCCGGATTCCAGCTCCATCCTCACCCCCAAATTTAAACTGTACCAAATATAGAACGATATAGTACATTTCGTATACATGAGTACACACTTCCAGAACCACCTCCTTATATCGACCTTATTTCTCAACCTTAAAATTACAAATTTTTAGCTCTTCACATGCAACGAAATTGTACCAAATTACGCTCATTTTAATAATGTTCGGATACTTATAATCTAAAAAAATAAAAAAAAAAACTTAAAATCCTTTGGCACATCATGTCAAGTTCCAGAGATCTAGCTCTACCGGTTCGTCAAATGCTAACGATACCACATTTAGAACTCCTTAGTTCCGCTCTAGTACGAATTTCCAAAAACCCAGCCTTATCGGACACATTTGGACTAAGAGTAACCCTCACCCAAAATTGCAAGATTCTAGCTTCCGCCGTTTCGTCTGGACGTTGAAGAATCGTTAAGTTACTCTCTGCTGTATCTTACCGAAATCCCGGTTAATCGATGAATTCTTATCTTTAAATTATACCAAGTACGGAAATTTGGAAAATAGATACTAAATATTTTGCAAAATTATTAACTAATGGATACTTAAACTATTTACTCTAATTGAATTAACTGATATCAAACATTGTAGCAAAGATTTACTAGTCCTAGTACAAATTCAATTAAAAACTCATTTATCATAGTTTCGCTGAAAGATAAAAACAAACAAAAACATTCAACGGCTGATAACCTCTATTGTTTTCTACGTACCGAGATCGCTATATTAGGATAGGTCGAGTAATAAAATTGTATGTTTATCTTACAAAACTAAATCGTTGTAACATCTACTCTTATATTTTTATAAATTTAACATTTAATATTATCTAATTTCAAGATCGCCATATTTTCAACATTAAAAAAATTGCTTCATATGTACGCAAATTGTGTTCATTTACTTTTAGCGAACCCATCTAATTCACACATTTATGCTGTGAAAGAGAAAAAAGAAAACAATAACAACTCACATGGTACACAAAATGCCGGTCACCAAGGCAAATGACCGATAGACATATTCTCTCACGTGTTTATATATACATATATACGAGTACATATGGTTTCTAACTATACAATTGTTGTTGTTATTTTTAATTGTAGCGACATATAAAGAAACATACACAATGCGACAACATACATAATGCCCAACTAATGATCATTGAATGGTATTTACGATAACGTAAAGAGTACAATGGGTCTCTTAGAGAAATAAGAAAATACGTTTTTTACTTAGCAATATTAAATTTGTCATTTTGTTTGCATCACTGTAGACCCTATAGAGTATGGTCCAGAATAATATTATATTCTATAATATTATGATTCTCTGTTGAATATACCCATAGTGGCAGAGCTCCGAAATGCTCGCTCGAATTCGAGTGAAGAATGAAACTCGCTCGAATTCGAGCGGGAGTACTCTTGCGAGCAGGGCTGCCATATTTGCCGATTTATCGGCATTTTGGCGATTTTTCACTCTAAAAATTGAAAATTCCGATTTTTGCCTCAGAATTGCCGATATTTCAACAATCGACACAAATTGTCTAATTTTTAATTTAATACGGCGTTACCATACAAACATATAAAATTGGCAGCTTTAAATCGTTATAACTATCGGCGACTCGCCGCAGCCGTTTTCAATGGCTTAGATATCTGCATTTTTTGTCAGTATTGTACTCTGTCTAGTTTACATTTTACATCGAATAAGGCAAATCTTTAGACTCCGAGTTTAGGGAGTTAAACTTTCTGAATTTTGAAGAAATTTTTGAAAATGCAGAATACAATTTAAAAAGTTTTTGGAAAAAAATTTCCGAAATTAAACGTGGGGACTCCAATTTAGCTTTTCCAGTTTTTTCTAAATTTGTACAAAGAATTATGGTTCTTCCCCACTCCACAGCAAATGTGGAACGAATTTTTTAGTCAGGTAAACCTTAACAAAACTAAAATTAGAAGCTCACTTGATAATGATTCATTGGAAGGTATTCTTCATTCTAAATATTACCTCAAACTAAATAATTCAAATTGTTTTAATGTCAAAATTGATAATGAATTACTAAAATTGTGTAATAAAAATATGTACTAGTTTGTAAGTTATTTTTATGATCTGAAAGATCTCACTAGTGTACATAATAATTACTATATTTTAGAAAAATCTACATTTTTTGTAGAAAAATGAATCTTTTATGTTATTTTTTTTATACAGAATTGACTTTGTTAATGTAATAAACAATATTGATTTGTTATAAACCAAAAAAATATGAATTTACTTATAAATTATATGCTTCCGATTTTTTGCCGATTTTTAAAAATACAAATGCCGATTATGCCGATTTTTTTCTGAAAAATTTACGATTTTTTATGAAATTTAACTGGCAGCACTGCTTGCGAGTAGAAAAAGTAAATAGAGTATACTCTATTTTTCACTGCCACTCAAATAAGAGCGCAAGTGCTTCGCTCGTTTTCGAGTGGGAGTGAAATACGCTCGAAATCGAGCAGATTACACTCTTGCCGAGTACTCTTTTATTTTTATTTATGTTTTTGTTGTGATACCGTTGTTTTACTTGATGTTGTTTGTGTGCATTGTTTGTTTGTTTGTTTTGTGATGTTTGGTTTGCTGTACTGCTGGGAAAGCATGCATCAACAAGCTCGTTCTCTGCGTTCACTTTATGTAAGTCTGAAATAGTGACAGCAAGACGAACCAGCCTCCAAATTGAAACCCTCGACAATATTTTGATACTAAAATTAAATAATGAACCACTTATGCATTCATGGGTTTTCTTTCAAACCAGCGCTTTTAATATTTTTGGAGAATACTTTTCCACATTTTTTAATGAATACCATTTTAAAAATTTGTTTGGAGGTGTTTATGCTTTTAAAAAAAATATTGAATTAATTAAATCACACGGTTGAATTCATTTTATAAATTAAAATAAAAAACATATAAAAATCTTATATGGTATAAGATTTTTATTTGTATTTCACATTTTCAGTAAACAAAATAATCGATCTCCCCACAGCACACAAAAGATCAACATCAAAAAATGTTTGCTACTACACACACACACACACAAATAACCAAACAACCAAATTTATTTGTCCACTCGATTTCACTCTTAGAGTGAATTCATACTCTATTTCGAACATTTTGACTCACACTCTTTTTCTTCATCAAGGAGTACTCGCGAGCACTCCCAAACAAAATAAAAGAGTGGAGAGTATACTCCCTAAAAAACTCGTACTCTTTACTTACTCCCACTCGGGAGTATTTTTCACTCGCGAGTAAAATCGAGCAAATCGGAGCTCTGCATAGTGGTGACTTTTCCTTATTGGCATTATTATACCCTTCACCCCCCTTTGGTACAGGGTATTACTCGTATGCTTTTGTCCATATGTTTGTAACAGGCAAGAGGATACGAGATAGACCCATGATTCCTTTTGAGAATATGCATAGAATCACTTTCTGAGTCGATTTATGCAGGTCCATCCGTCTGCCTGTCCACGTTAAATTGTGAACAAAGTACAGGTCACATTATTTATTTGGCCCAAGGACGAACCATAATGAAATTAGGAAAAATCGGTTCAGATTTAGATATAACTCAAAGTTTCGTCCGATTTTTACTAAATGCTGAACCAAAGCCTCAAAATATGGCAGATTGAAACCAAATTTGCATTTCGTTGAAGTCTCTTCAGATTTAGATATAGCTCCCATATATAGTTACGGCCAATTTTCCATAAATGGTTCACCAAAGCTTCAAAATATGACCGATTGGCACAAAATTTGTCACAACATACTGAAGTTAGTATAACCTATATCCATATATATTTTCTTCCGATTTTACGAAAAGGTTGCATCAAACTCTTCATGTTTCTCAGATTGATACGAAATTTTTCACAACGTATATAGCATATATATTTTCGACCGATTTCATGTTAATTGAGCTCCAAATAATTCAGAGATCCCGATTGAGATTTGGTTTAAATCGATTTACATAATTTGCCCCAATTGTAAACAAACGATTCTATATTGGTCCAATGAAAAAAATTATGGGCTGCAGAATGGCATGTTTATGAATTGATCTAAGTCGATTCACATTTAGATAAAAATCACATATTTTAGTTTATCCAATTTCATGTTAATTGTTCTTCTAAATTCGACTTTCATATTGTCGGCTCCGCCTGACTTTCCTCACTTAAAATTATTCTTTGCATTTTATTTTTTTATTATGTAAAATAATTTTATAATGACGAATGTTTTTGAATATTTTTTATATATACGATCACTGCAATTGTTTTTAATTTTTATGTCCTATAATTCTGTTTAAGAATGTTAAATTGTAAGACATTTAAAACAAAATCGAACTTCTCAATGTCTCGCATAAAAACAAAAAACTAATTTAAACATTTCCATGACCAACCACTCTGATTGAATGAATGACTGCACTTCAAAAGACATTTATCGTAGAAATGGAAATATTTATAATTAGATATCCGCACTGAACTGAGCAACCCATAACCATAAGTGGTTATACTTGTCAATGAATGAACGAACGAATTGCTGGAATGCTTCATTTATGTAAATTAATTTATTTTATTTTTCTATTTTTCATTTCTTTGTGTAGTAGTAGTAGTAGCCAACTGTAGCTGCCATTAGAATTCAATTGAAAAATGTCACAATCCAAGTCAACTTCGCCGTCGTCTGCCAACTATGTTGTCGACATTCGTTCGGATACAGTTAGTTTGCCGACAAAAGAAATGCGTCAGGCCATGTTCGATGCCGTGGTGGGTGATGATGTATATGGTGAAGATCCAACCGTTTTGAAATTGGAACAAACCGCTGCACAGCTATTCGAAAAGGAAGCTGCCTTGTTTGTACCCAGTGGTACTATGGCGAATTTATTGGCAAGTAAGTAGTAACAATTATCATTTTTGGTTTTGTATATGCACGCTTAAAGATTGTAGATTGGTTTAAGACGTGGGGATGTTATATTAGGAAGATATTGTAGTATATTTGGATTTATTTTGTTTAGTATTTTTAAACCAGTTTGATTGTTATTACGTATATGGTTATATATTTTTTTAATTAGATATCTCTAATAAACAAATTAATTTTGTTAAACATTAACAGAATAACAAGAATTAATAATCGGTGTCTTTAACCTGAAATGTTGATGTGACGTATTATATCTTTCAAATGCAGTACATGAAAGAAATCATTCAAAATCTAGAACTTTTATTTGAGTTATTTCAAAATCGTCAGATTGTTATTTAAATATTATATTAAAATAATATTATTTGTTATTAAACGTTCCGCCGTAATTTTTTGTTTAGAAATTATTTTAATAATACGTCCAGAAAAAAATATTTGTAACTAAATGTGACATATATTGCCTTCCACCATAAGATATATCATATATTGAATTTGGCAATCTGTTTTCAACACCTAAAAATATTTTTTTTAGAATGCCACGTATAGGGTTTCATTTCGAGGGAGGGGTCCTGCAGGTTCAATACGAAAAATTGTATTGGAAAAATACATTTTTGTGTGAAAAAAAATCGGTAGGCCGGAAGCACTGGCCCACGATAGCTATTGTAATCTATACTAATTAAAAAATAAAGTGATTGACTGACTGACTTAACGATTCGTCAACATTGATATTTGGTGTGAGGGTCACTTTTAGTCAAAAGGTGTCAGATAAGGCTGGGTTTTTAGAAATTCGTACTAGAACGGCACGAAAAGTACTAAATGTAGTGCAATTTGTATTTTGCGAACCGGTAGAGCTAGTCCTCTTAAATTTGGAATGTGGGTCAGTAATGTGGTGTAGAATAGATGTACCAAAGGGTTCTTGAAATTTTAAATTAACATTAATATTTGCAACTGTTTTACTTAAGTGCACTAAAATTACTAAATAGTAATATAATTGGTACAAATTGGATATAGGAGAACCAATAAGGCTGGAACACTAAAATTTGGAAATAAGATTACTGCTGGAGTGTAGGATTGGCGTATGGATGATACTAAATTTGGTACAATTTGAATTTTTGGGTGAACCGATAGAGCTGGAACTCTGAAATTTGGAGTTAGGATCACTTTAGAAAATGGGGTATGTAGGAAGTTTTGGAAATTCGTACTTATATGTACTAAATGTTACTAAATTTAGTACAAATTGGATTTGGGTAAACCGATAGAGCTGGAATTCTGAAATTTGGAGTTAGGATCATTGTTGGGGTGGAGGTGAACAACTTATTCGCAAATAATTTGCAAAATATGTTCATGGTTGGTTATAGCCCCCATATTATGGTGTCGCCCTATTTTATGCTTTTTGATAGTGATAGACGCATTTTCCAGTCTAAAGTAATTATCATCTGCTTTATGGTGGAGTGTTTAAAAAGTTCGGCCGCCATGTGTAGAAAGAACAAAAATACAAAATTTGGTCTCAAGGCAGGGATGTACGGCGGCAGGAAGTTTACACTTTTTCCCGGTTTAAAATGAATAAGTTTGAGCCGATTTGTGATACTACACAATGATTCGTTTCCCTTCTTCGTTTTACGAAGTTATCCGAAGACTTCAGGTAAGCATATTGGTGTATAACTCAGAATTGCCCGCCCTATCAACAATCACCACATGAGCAGCTTCACCGAAGAAATTGGCGGCTATATTCTTCGATATGCTCATATTCTAAATTAGGATTTATCGATCCACGTATAGCTCCCATATAACGATAACCAAAATATTCATTAAATCGATTCGGTTTTAGGTAAAGTCTCCATTCAAAAGAGACTCCGAATTTCCACATTTTAATTATTTGGGATATATTTTTCACCCGATTTCTTTTATAATTTCATATATTGGATTCTTTGTTATAATGTGTGTAAAAATTTCCCTCGTTTCGTGGTAGCTCTCATATAATGATACCCTAATTTTTCGGTATTTTAAATTCATTTTTGCAACAAATTGGATAATTGGCCAATTAATGGTCAAATGTTCCTACCAAAAATATCAATATCAGGAAATGTTTACGTGCAGACAACATTTGGTATTTTGAGGATTCCAGACAACATAATTAGGTCTCATTTGATATTTTAGGATATCATTGGTCATAAATCTGCCCAGAAGAAAATATTAATATAGGCATAACTTTAGGTATTTGCTTTATTATAGGTATTCTGGCCTTTTCCGGATTCCGGAATTTTCCGGATGTAGAATATTTCTGAAATTTCTGAATTTTACGAATGGAATTCCGCCCCCTGCGTACGTCCCTGGATATAACGATTCTAATTGATATAACGATTGTCATACATTGACTACATCTGTGTATAAAATTTTGAATCATAGTATACGCGGAGTTAAATTTTTATATGAAACTTTCAAAATTTACATTCTATGGACCACATATGTACCTCGGGCATTAAAATATATATAAAGAGCCCGTAACTTTATATAGTGATGTTGTGTCAAAAATGGGTCTATATCAAAATTTTTCTGAAATTTGTTCAAAAAACCGAAATGCCAAATTATAGAAAATTCGGTGAAAAATTCAAAATACGAAAAATGGCCGGGACCTGTATGAGGAGGCTATGTAGCAAAATTGATGTATTTTGATCATTTTCTGAATAAATGTACCGAATAATGTCAAATAACAGCCTCTTCCGCTGGAAAATGCGGCTAAAGCCTTCAAGATATTGATAATGTGATTGCAGCCATCGATGTCCATTGTGAAAAATGTCCAATTTTGAAATCTATTTTTTCTTTAATTACACCAATGTAAATGAAACCCCCAAAGAATTTTTTAGCATTTTACACAGAGTAATTAATTTTATTGTCGTTCCTTTGTCTGGCTAATGAACTTTAACCTCACAATGAATTATTTTCTAACACTACATCTTATCGTTTTTATTACCGTTTTATTTTCTACTTCCCTCTCTATTCCAGTTATGGTTCATTGCCATCGTCGCGGCACCGAAGCTATCGTTGGTGACATTTCTCACACATTCCTTTACGAACAAGGTAAGTAGGAGCGTTATAATGAAATACCTTCTCCCAGTAACCTTTCGAGACATTAATTATCACTTCTCCATTAAATTGAACTTCTTCGTCTTCTCCTTGTTTAGCGGGAGCCGCACAAATTGCTGGCGTGCAATTAGCTACAATAAAAAACAAACCCGATGGCACCTTTTGTCTCAAGGAAATGCAGCATAAGTTACGACTCTACGATGATTGTCACGAACCTGTTACGGCGCTGGTCGTCGTAGAGAATACCCATAACATGTGTGGTGGTAAGGCTCTGCCGCTGGAGTGGTTAGATGAACTGGCAGCAATATGTAAGGATCCGGCCAAGACAAATGGCAAACGCATTGCCCTGCATATGGATGGTGCTCGCATTTTTAATGCAGCTACATATTTGAAGGTGCCCGTGTCGCGCATAACCAAAGATTTCGATTCGGTGTGCTTTTGCCTGAGCAAAGGACTGTCGGCACCGGTGGGTTCTGTATTGGTCGGCAATAAAACATTCATTAAGGAGTAAGTATTGTTGTTGTTGTGTTTGGTGCATAATGCTTTAAGGCACCTGCTAGGTGGGGTGGCATTTCGGGGAGGTTTATGTTGCCAAGAAGCCATAGCAAAAAAGAAGCGAAAAAGTAGAACAATTACTTTAGAGGGTAACGATTAAATGTAGTAATCCTAAAGGTGTCGTTTTGTCATGTGACTAATGATTATTTGTTAACTCCTTTCAAACGCTTTATTTAGTTCCCCTAAGGGTCGTACATACATACACACCTACATAATGTGTTTAAGACGTCTCATGTTTCGCACATATTTGAGACGTTTCCAATGCAAGGAGATTTGTAAAGACTAAAAAATGAAGATATATTCAACGAATTTAATTCATTAACAAGATAGAAGCCATCATATTTGGTTTCCGATACAATTTTTGTCCGCCTATAAATGAAAAATATAACTATCCTTTGCTAGAGATGTATGGTCAAAGAAGATCTTGAGCTCTTCTATGATTGAGAAAGATCTGAAATCTTGCATAAAACACCTTGAGCTCTTTTAAGGTATAAAATCACTCCAAATATTAGCTTGGCTATCAAAGCTCATAGATGACCTCAAGCACTTCAAATTTCAAACAAGACCTTGAGCTCTTCTCTGACCAAAGAAGACCTTGAGCTCTTCTCTGACCTAAGAAGACATTGAGCTCTTCTCTGACCAAAGAAGACCTTGAGCTCTTCTCTGACCAAAGAAGACCTTGAGCTCTTCTATGACCAAAGAAGACCCTGAGCTCTTCTCTGACCAAAAAAGACCTTGAGCTCTTCTATGACCAACGAAGAACTTTAGCTATTCTATGACATAGAAGACATTGTACTATCTATGAGCTCTTCTGTGACGTAGAATACCTTTCTATGGATTAAGAAGAACTTGAGCTCTTCTATAGCCATAGAAGACCTTGAGCTCTTCTATAGCCATAGAAGGCCTTGAGCTCTTCTATGGCTATAGAAGACCTTGAGCTCTTCTATAGCCATAGAAGACCTTGAGCTCTTCTATAGCCATAGAAGACCTTGAGCTCTTCTATAGCCATAGAAGACCTTGAGCTCTTCTATAGTCATAGAAGACCGTGAGTTCTTCTATAGCCATAGAAGACCTTGAGCTCTTCTATAGCCATAGAAGACCTTGAGCTCTTCTATAGCCATAGAAGACCTTGAGCTCTTCTATAGCCATATAAGACCTTGAGCTCTTCTATAGCCATAGAAGACCTTGAGCTCTTCTATAGCCATAGAAGACCTTGAGCTCTTCTATAGCCATAGAAGACCTTGAGCTCTTCTATAGCCATAGAAGACCTTGAGCTCTTCTATAGCCATATAAGACCTTGAGCTCTTCTATAGCCATAGAAGACCTTGAGCTCTTCTATAGCCATAGAAGACCTTGAGCTCTTCTATAGCCATAGAAGACCTTGAGCTCTTCTATAGCCATAGAAGACCTTGAGCTCTTCTATAGCCATAGAAGACCTTGAGCTCTTCTATAGCCATAGAAGACCTTGAGCTCTTCTATAGCCATAGAAGACCTTGAGCTCTTCTATAGCCATAGAAGACCTTGAGCTCTTCTATAGCCATAGAAGAAGACCATGAGCTCTTCTTTAGCCATATAGGTTATTGAGCTCTTCTATAGCCATATACGGGCATTGAGCTATTCTATATACATAGACGAATTTGAGCTTGATGACCGATGGTCCTTCTAGTGGATTTTCTCATATATTACGGTGTTGTATATATATTTACATATTCACGTTGTGTTGTTTATATGTATCTTACAGAGCTCGTCATCTGCGTAAAGTTTTGGGTGGTGGCATGCGACAATGCGGTGTACTAGCTGCTGCCGGCTTAGTGGCTCTTGAGACAATTGTTCCACGCTTGAATGATGATCATCAAAGAACAAAACGTATCGCAGAAGGTAATTTATAAAAAAAGACGAACGAACGCACAAACACACACACACACTCTCACAGGGCTACACAATATATCCTATCACACCTTGGAGCCTGGTTGGTAAGCAGCTTCATTTGTCTCAGCAACCCCATAACTTCATCTGTCCGTTTGCTGTATCTGTCTTTACAAAGGTTTATGCATTCATCCGTTTATCCATTCCCATTTGCATGGTTAGTTGTAAGAACCAAACTTGTTGTAGCGGTGTGTTGTGTGTGTGTGTTTGTGTGTGGGCATACTTCACTGTTTCATAAACTGCCTAAAGTGGCACTTTGTACCATAACACACTTACTCTAAACATTATTCACCATTTCGTTATTGTTCCTTCTACTGCTGCTGCCGGTTGTTTTTATCTCGCTTTTACTTCTTGGTTGTCCTGATGAAGCGTATAAAAAAGAGAAATTGAGAAAATAGCTGAAATCCTTTATAAGAAGAAATATTTTTGCAAGTCCATTAAAAGAGGATGGACAGCAGGATTGTATCACCCTTCGACAATTTTGGTTTCCTATTTGCCATAAAAATATATCTTGAGATGGGGAAAACACATTTGGTTGTGACTCTCTTGTGATACCTCGGTTTGACGTAGTCTCAAACCCTTGACACAACCCCAAATTCCCGCATTTTCAAACATGACTCGTTTATTTGCTAATAAACTGCAGTAAATGACGTATTTTTGTACTTGAATTGCAATTCGTTATGCCGACGAGTTTTGCTCATTCTTTCGTTTTTTGTCTATCCTCTAGATTTCTTTTGTTCCACGATTTTTTCATTTCCTCTGTGAGTGTGTGTACTGGTGCATTTGTATGTTATATATTTTTCCCTTTGCATTTCATTTGTAACATTATTTCTTTTTTGTTGCTTTTTCCCTTTACTTCCTTTTGTCTAGCTCTCCATAATCTACACAGCCCCAACATTTCCGTTGACCTAGCCAATGTGCACTCAAACATTCTGTTGATTCATATGGTTAATCCCAAAGTAACTGCCGATGAGTTTGCCAAACGTCTGGGTACAGTAACGCCACAGGAACTGGCGGATGGTGTAGTCACTGGCGAGGAGGATGGTGCCCGAGGCATTGTATTGAAGGTCAGTGCCCGTGACTGGGCATATGCACGCATTGTGCTATATCATCAGATTACGGATAAGGATGTGGAATATACCATTAAAAAGTTTGAATATGTCATCAAGGAATTTGATCGTCAGTTGGCATGAATTGACTTTGAAGGGATGATTGACAATCAGATGTTAAACGTCCTATGCCATGTCATGTAAATATAAATAAATTTCCCAAAGGAAAAGTCCGTTTCGTTTTTTCTTTGTATAAAAAAAAAGAAATAAAAATAAAAAAGGATTATAACCTTAATGTTGTTGTTTATTGGAAATGGGAATTAAAAGGAAATCTTGAGTGATGTTATAAAGTTAGAGCAATTTATTCATGGTGTTCTTGTTGAAAATATTGATTCATGTCAGGCATCATTTATTTTCTTTTCCGTAGAAATAAACATTAAAAAGTTTCATTTTCCTTTTTTTGTTGGAGCATTGTTGCATGTTTATTTTTTCTTTTAAGATTTATTTAGATCATTAAAAACTCCTTTTCTTTGTATTCAACCTTGGGAATAAGCATGTGAAAAGGGATTATAAATAACACAGAAGACAGAAAATAATGATGTTATCGATAAATAAGAATTATAAAAAATATTTTTTTTCATTGGCAGAACTGAGGACAAATTGAATTACAATGCGTAGCAGATGGATTAATAAATGACTTTGAATTATATGCCTCCAGGTTTAAATGTATTAAACGTTTTATTATTTCTATATTATATCTGTAATACGTGAATCAATTATGTTATGTGTCGCCGTCTGCCTATTATAAATTTTATACAAAATACATGGACCGATATTTATAAAATTTTTCATGACATTTTAGTTCTGTCCAAGAACGACACAAATTGTTTTTGATATGTTCGGAATATGTGAATAATGCCGAACCTTGGTCCTATAATAATACGTTTCTTCATAAGTGTATGTAAGCCTTTAAAACCCCGGTAAGTCAAATTACAGCCCATTCGGTTTGAATATGCGATTAACATATTTAAAACGCTGAAAATTAGCAGTAAGATCATATAGGAGTTATAACAAAAACGTCGATCAATATACCACATTTGCAATACCACACATCATAGGAGTATTGGCAATGTCAGTGCAAAATTTCAAAGCTCTTCTTAAATATTGAGATAGGCTAAATCGACATAGAATTTTATTTTGATCAAAAATATATATACTTTATAGGGTCTCCGACAGATCTTTCGATATGTTTCAAACGGCAATTATAAATTTAATATACCCTCTAGTTTATGTTAGAGGCCATAATGAGCATAATGTCCAATTTAATATACCCTTCAGTTTATGTTGGAGGTCATAAAGACCATTGAAGGGCAAAAATATTTAAGAATCGGAAATTCTAAACTTTAGTGATCTATTAAAACAGAAAACTAAGGTGAAACTGATCAATTATTTTGATATTGCGCCTAAGAGTATGCAATGTAAGCTTTTTATTTTAATTTTATCCGCAGTGACATCTAGTGGGTACTAGTTTACAATTACAATTCTAACAATACAGTTGCAGTTGTTTTGGACTGTATTTTTATAAAGATAGAAACTTTATTACCTTATTATAACCAAGTATTTGACACCCTACACCTAAGACTTTTTATACCCTTTACCACACTGTGGTACAGGGTATTATGTATTTGTGCATATGTTTCTGATCAATCAATTTCTGAGTTGATTTATGAATACACGTCCATCTGTCTGTCCATTTAAATTTTAAACAATGTACAGGTCGCATTTATGATCGGATTTTCACGAAATTTGGCATAGCGTACTGAATTAAGATGTGTGAATTAATTAATGATGTGTGTAAAATTTCCTGAAAATCAGTTCAGATTTAGATATAGTTCCCTTATATATTTTCGCCCGATTTTAAGTAAAGGGTGTACCAAAGTCCTTATATATCTTTCGATTTGCACAAATTTTGGCATAGCATACTGAATTTAATGTGTGTGTAAAGTTTCCTGAAAATCAATTCAGATTTAGATATAGCTCCCATATATATTTTCGCTTTATGTAAAGTGTGTACCAAAGCTTATATATCTTTCGATTTGCACGCGTAGCGTACTGAATTGAGTCTAGAATAATGTATGTTAAGTTTCGTGCAAATCGGTTCAGATTTAGATATAGTTCCCATATGTTTTTTTATGTAAATTGTGCACTCAAGACCCAAAGTTTGTCCGATTGCCACACAGTTTTGTACAATGAATACTGAAGTTAATATAAATTAACCTCTGTTAAGTTTCCTTGAAATCGGTTCAGATTTAGATATATTCATATTAGTTTGGAGAAAAATAAATCTACTATTTTTTCGACAGATGGCTGTACTGTACTTTTGTTTGGAGCATTCAATTGTGAGTTAAGGGTGTTACAAATGGAAGTGAAAAAAGAGAAAATTCGGAACATTTTATAGTTCTTCTTTGACAATGGCGAAAATACAAGCCAAGCAGATAAAATTGCGAATGGTGTAAATTTTGTTGTGCAAAATTTACCTTAACTCAAATTGAGACTTGAATAACGTTTTTGACATTGGTGCAGATGCAAACATAGCATCCATATATATTTCGAACGGGTGTCAGATTGAGATTAAATTTTGAGCAGTGCGGATTACCGAAAAGCGTGTATCAAGTGTGCTATAAATCGATTTACATAAATTTGTTCCAATGTACGCAAACGACTCTAAATCTGCCCGAATGAAATTAAATTTAGCATAGGCTGCAGAAAGGCATGTGTATGGATTGATGATAGTCCTTTCACATATAGATAAAGGTCACATATTTAAATTGAACATTGTAGAATATATATGGAGGGTATCATATTGTCGGCCCAGCCCGACTTTACTACCTTCCGTACTGGTTTTAGGTGGTGGCCAAAACTAAAGCGACTAATCTTGCAAATAAATGCCTCATAACTTTTTCAAAAATTAAGATATCGTGTTGTTTTTTTCAGTTGTAAATCGGGTACTTTGTTCATTTCAAAAGCACAAACAAAATTCAATATTAAGGGAAACCCCCCCCCCCCATTCTCGATTTACTTTTAAGATTTTAAATGATCTGGTAAATGAATACCAATGCATGTTAAGGTTTGTAACTTTGCACATATATATTTGAAGATTTAAAAAGGAAGAAAAATAATGTACAAAAAATTTTTGTTGTTGTTTTTTGTTATCAAAGAAATGTCCTTATTTTTGATGGCGGGCATGATAACCCCTCACTGGAACACCGGAATCCGAAAATTCCAACGGTGTTAGAAAGAGTACATGTTTGATTCTCGTATGAACTAGGATTATTGACTTCGCACAAACATTAACAATATGGAGGAACTTTTATTTTATTTTATTAATCGCCTATTTTTGACCACAAACTAAGTTAAAAAATAAGGAAGATCTTCACCGATTGGCTTTATCCTATTACATACGATAGCTATACGAGGAATAGTATGTCCAACTCTCAAATAGAGCGTTTTATAGATTTAATTTAATTCGTATGTGTAGTGCCTTAATCAAAAATAATGGTTACGATGTCGATTACTACCTAAATTTAATTATTTAAAAGAAAAAAAATTAAAAAGATGTGTTAGTTTTGACCAAGCAGAAATTGGGTCTACTTAGTTTTCCATAGAATATTATTTATTTTAAAATAAATTTTGTGTTTATACTTTTTTTTTTAAGTGAACAAATAACCTATTTATTTCTGAAAACACTATAAATTTCAAAAAAATTTTCAAAAAAGTTACAGATCATTTATTCAGTTTGCAATTCTTGTTGCTTTATTTTTGGTCACCAATGTTTATTGACCATTTTCTAAAAATATGTAGTTCACTCCACAAGAATCCGGAATGAACATCCTAAATATTGCGAGCTCTATCGCAATATCCACAAACTACATTCTTGTAGAATATTATCGAAATTTTTCTAGAATATATAGAGTTCAAAAATCCTGTCTTGCGGTATTTAGTTTGCGGTTCAATAAAATAAGAACGAAAAAGACGCACATGTATTCATGATAAAAAGAGGATATATCTTATACAATCATATTTCTCATTAGATTTGACTGAAGACATTACGCTTGAAAAATAACCTGAAATAGCAGTAAATAAATAGATTTAGATTTTCTTATTGAACTTACATCAAAAACTTCTTCAGGACTTTCATACCCACGAGGAATGTTCTACTCCCACAGCATTACAATTTGGAATATATTTACAAATGTCCGTATGCCTGACTGGTTGCTGGTGGTTGTTCCATGGGGAGTAACCGATTTCATCGAAACTTTTCGCATAACGTAATATTTTTACATGCTTCGATCCACTCCTTCTATTTATATATCGATCATAAAATTAATAAAAATGGCTCCAGCTCCATAGTGCTATACATTAGACAGTGATACACCTAAACTCTTTAACCAAAATGGAATGCAATGGTCATGATTAGTGAATACTACATATGCCATATACCCTCAGTATACACCTTACTGCAACACCGACTGACAGATTTTACTTGTTTTAATAAGGAAAATCAACACCAAAGTGATTTGAATTTCTCCTAGGTGTCATTTTAATTACACAAATCTTAGCCATAAAAATCTAATTCATTACCAGTTATGTCTGAATGGGTCATTGGACTTACATTACATTGATTTCCATAATATTTCATTTGTCATATAGGTATGTATATTCAGTTTTTTGACTAAAAATAATCATTCTTATATTTCTTTGGTGTAGTCATCCTTTGTGTAGGATGTATAAAACCATTCCAAATATAACCCATAACGGCAGAAAGAAATGTTTCCCTTTTCCGTCAATTCATTAATTAAATAATTTTCACGAAATAAACAGGTGTGCCCCGTACATTTGATTTGAATAAAGGGAATCAAAACCGAAGGTGTGAGAATGGCCCAACTAATACAAATACAAAACGACAATTTGTTATGTCAACAAATTTATGTCTGTTTATTTAGTCCAAGTTTTACAAATCACCACTTCCTCAAACTCAAACTCATGCCTGTACTCAAACAACAAACCCAACACAAAAACACCAAATGCTACTGGTTATTCGTTCATAGGTTGCCTTCTTTCTGTTAGAAGTTAAAATTCTCATTTATTAATGTCAAAGAAAAAAAAAACTGAGAAATAGATATCCAAGGACATACCATTACAAGG